TACCTGTAATCCTTTATTCTATTGTAAAGACCAGTGGGAGAATATTTTTGTCAAAGCCTCAAACTTGCTAAAATTTTATAAGCACACAGGTTCTACAATATTTGGTAGAGCTGTATTGATAAATAGTTTGGTCATTCCAAAGATTGTCTATTTAGCTAACATTACAGAGCCACCTCCTAAATTCATTAACAAGCTGAACAAGTTAATTAGAAGCTTTATATTTAAAAACACTATTAGGAGCATTAAGCACACTACACTCATTCAAAACAAAGAGGATGTGGGGATAAACTTACAAGATGTCAAAACAAAAATACATTCGCTAAGGCTAAAATTTGTAGGTCAAGTAGTTAGAAACCCAACAAACTTTCCCTTGACAATTTACTATTATGGTTTAAGATTAAGTAGTCTTCTTCCAATACACAATGATACTCCTCACTATTTTGGTACAGTCACTCATCCATTTTACAGGTCTATTTCCAGAATTTTACCTGGTAATGAACATTTAATACAAAACAAAACCAAAGAATCATACACAACACTTAAAAAGCTGTTACATGAAGGTCTAGTGAATAGGATTAAGTGGGAGAGAGTTCTTGGGGTGACAGAATCCAAGGACACATTCATAAACCTACACAACAAACATATCCCACCAAAAGCTAGAGAGATAAGTTATAGAGCTATCTTTGGGATGACCCCTATGGTTAGAAGACGAGCAAATGACCGTGCCTGTATATTATGCCATCTTGAAAATGCTGACAATGAGAAACATATGTATTTGGAATGTCCATTATTCCTTCAAGTTAGAAGTACTGTAAGGGACTTATTAGAAGCAAACTGTGGCAACTATGTAAATGTTAACTTGTCAATTGTATTAAACAAGCTGCCAAAACTAAAAAATAAAATGATACATAACTTTAACTTAATTATTGTTTCCGAATACAGGAACCTTGTTTGGGCTAGCTGGCTCAAAGCTCTACATAATAATAAGGTTTTTCATCCTAATCACTTAGAATTGACATTTAGAAAAATAATGGATTTTAGGGTAGAGAATTATCTAGTTTGATTTTCATATACTTGTACAATGCTCAGGTAGTTTTCCAGAAATGGGGTGATGGGGGTCAGGGATATTTGATATTGTGTTGATTGTTCTGGGGTAGAGGATACTTGTATCATTGTTCTGTCTTTTATGGATTCAATGGCTAGGATGGTTAGGTAGTATGTCTTTGATATTAAATAATGTTTCTGTTACTATTGTTATATTTTTAGGTTAATCAATTTTCAATTGCTTATGATTTAATACTTGTGAATTATGAGAACTTACAAATAAAAACATATTGGAAAAAAAAAAAGCCCACAAAAGAGGCAAGATGGCCCATACAAGAGGCACATTAAGCCCCAAAAAGAGGCAAAGAAAAGAGGCCTAAGGCCCAAGGATTCCTATGATGATAAAGCTAAAATTGAATAGCGCAAATTCTGAGGTTTCCATTTAAAAAAAAAAAAAAAATTCATTTCAATATGAAGAATAGAATTGCTGAATTAACTGGAAAATACGAGCTTCTGCTAATGGCAGCCTTGTGCCTCATGCAGTTTGACAATATTAGAAATGTCATTCTTTCATTTAGTGTAAGCAGAGCATCCAGTCTATTTCTTTGCTTATTCGAGTTTGTTACAGCAATAAATCCAGTTTCAAACAATCAAACAGGCTACTAAATAATAAATGCAATATTTGATCAAATAAAATATCAAGAAAGATTTGAAGGCAACTAAAAGCAGGCAACAAGAGGTGGTCGAGAGGCTATGTACACTTGAACTTGGCTTGTCCAACTACGAAGGGGGCTCAAGGTTCGACACCCGACTCGAGCAGAGTTGTGTTTACTTAGCGCCTAAAGGCAGCACGAAAATACTCCAGAATACCCCTCCCCCAACTCAGGGCCGCCTGCGTGCGAAATAAAAAAAATGCCGCCCCCCCTTTTTTATAGAAAAAAAAATTCCGTTAAAACTGAGCTGGACACTGTACCATAAGTGCCCTTTGATTTAAATCCATTTTTTAAATGCCGATTCATTTTTATATTTCATATTCGCACCGAGTACAACTATGAACCATGCACTAGGAACAAGTTCGGATTTACATGCATTCAAAAATCTGTGAACTTTGGTTCATTTTGATTAACAAAAAAAAAAAAAGCTGATCTCGTTCTGACCACTCGCTTACATTTGTGACGATGAACAGCGCAAATGATCATGATCTACATACAATTTCTCGATAACTTTGACTGCTCAACAGTGTTATATGGTCTGGACGTGGAGATGTTAACGTGCTTGTTATTGACACTGACCTAGATAACTTTCCGTAGATTATCCAAGATCTCAAAGCCCAGGTCATCATCACAATTAGGACCTTTAGCTACCATTTCTTCATTTACACAGATCCATTTTAGACCATACTTTTATCCGTGACCACGGCACACTTTGTAATAAGCACTAACGTAAGGATCGGAAAGAAAATGTTGATTGAAGAATGGTAAATAAAATTCCCATAAAAAATATATAGATGGGCAAAATATACATTTTTAGAAATACTATTTATAAATGATATATAAATGATATAGCCCTTTACCATACAACTAAAATGACTGTAATGTCAAGGCAAATGACAACCGGCAAGAATAACAAGAACCATAACTTGCTAGATACATAAATCAGCCAAAGATTAAAAAATATGGATATGCTTTATACCTGTTGCTTCTTTTTCATTATTTACATTAAACTTGTTCAATATCTATAATGATAGCAATATTTCATTTTATTTAAATTTAATTATCCATATTAACGATTTCTCTGTCCATAAAAAAAAAGGACCTGAGCATTTTACGAAGTGTTCAGCAAAAGTAATAAACATTTTACTGATTACTTCCCTGTTAGTACCTTTAATGGAAGCTCAAGTTAGACAACTTTACTATGTTTTGCTAACGTTACCAATTTTAAAACAATTGCCTTAAAGAATATAATAAATATAAATATGTGTTTTAAATGGCACAGAAAGGATTATGATAATCACAAAATTAACAGACCAAATTATATATATATTATTTTTACTAAATATAAAATTTTAAATAGTATTTAGATACAACTAACCATAATTAAAACAAAAAATAGTTGATACTTAAAATTATTTATATCACGATATTTTTAAGATCATACTTTTAGGGATCATTTCTAAAGGTAGTCTTGCCGAGACGTCGAGTTAATCTGGACGGCCCGAAAACCACGATGACGAGATTGAGTCTCTACTTCTGAGCGTGAAGTCGATCACGAAACAGTTGCTTTGCTCTCGCATCAGTTTCACTGATTATTGAGGATCGTACCTCTCCTCCATTAGTGAGGAGATGGAGGAAGTAGAGGCAATCTGAGTGGTTTCACTGTAATTCAAAATATACGATTGGCAAACCTCCCTCTTCCAAAGTCTCCAGCTTCCAATTCTTGATACAGTGGTTATCGGAACCCCCCTATCATAGGGGTTCTCAAAAAGATGAAAAATTGCATTTCTTCGATTCGATAATTCGAATAATAATTTCTTCACTTACTGCTTTATATCTATTATGACTTGTGCTTACATACGACTTAGTCATTGTCGATGCTGCTTGTCAAGACAACAATGATTTCTAATAGTCATGTGATAGAATCTAATTTTGCTCATGAATATCATTTTACAAACCACCAATCAACAACGTTCTTTCAATCTCTCTGTTTTATCACGACATCTTAAAGTTTCCAACCACCAACACGGAGACTTCATGACAAGCCAACATAAGCAACACCAGTCAGTCACGCACGTTTTATAATTAGTTATAAAGGTACATATTGGTAATTCATGTCAGTTTAATTCCTTTTCGTCATCTAACCATTATGAGACAATGATGCAATTAGAGAGGCAAAACGAAATCCATATTTTCCTGAATATTCACCATTTGTATTTATACAGCAACAGTGATAAGCCACAATGTGTCATATGTTTCAGCATGTTAAAGCATAATCATGAACTGAAGGAAAAACCTGCAAATGTCGAGCAATGCGACAAAATAAAAAAGCTCTTTAGGCTTCATATATTAGGGCAATACAAATACATCAGAGATGAAAAGCACACAGAGTATCAGAGAGGTTAATTATGTCCCCTGCTTTACAAATATGTGATTTGGGCAGACAAATCAGGCTGTGTCCAGGGTCCACCAATTTGTATGGCTTATTAGGGGTCCCTGAACTGAAAAAGTTTGAGAACCTCTGCCTTGATGAATACCCAATGGTCAGTTCTTTATGTTTGATAACCGTAATTGATAATTTAGAAAGATATTTCGTAACAGAGTAGCAATTAGTCCTTCAAAAGTTACAACGTTGATTTTAGTTGAGATTTCGTATAATTTTAGGCTGCTTCTTCTGTTAAAAATTAACAAATACTGTGTAAATGTATTTAATTGTGAATGAAAAGCTATTTACAATGACCTGTTCTTAATAATCTAAATTCAGATTTGACTTTGGTTCAAAACATCTTTTCAAAAGCCTGTTTCTTGAAATGACTAAGCTCATCAGCTTTGAATAGTACAAAGTAATGAACAAGTTTTTATTCAGTTTACATCCAAAAGATGTATTTGTTCATTCTTACCATAAGTTTATTGTTAGCATATGATCTATATTTATTGACATTAAACATAAAATTAGATCAGTTCAAAGAAAAGGTTGTTTTGTTTTTTTACTGACTTCTATTTACATGTCCAGATCTAGAGAGTATTTACATTGTCACATACTATAATTAAAACTACATCTTTTCTTTTTACAATCTCATGCTGTTACATCTGTACAGGGCACAACATGGCCTAACCTTTGAAGATGTGCCAAAAACCAAAAATATCAACATCAGTACATAGATATTAAATAAAAGTAAATGTTTCACTTACCTATATAGGCCTATGCTTATTTATAACATTAAAAATGAACAACAAAGAAAAATTTGTTTTGAAAAATGTCACATTTTAATTCAATAGTAAAATCAGACAAAAGCATATTTAATGGAAGAGTTCTGGGACTCAAGAACAAGTGTGATATATACAGCATTGTATTTAAGCTGACATTATTTAGCAGTTTACACTACAGAGACAAAAAAATGACCTAAATTATTTCCCTTTAGTCAGATCAATAATGTGTGAAAAAGTTTGTGTTAATTTATTATGACATTGTCAGCTCACTAAACCTGTCTTTGTGCTGCTAACATAAAAAAAGCTCTAGATCATAAAGCATTAGACATGTTGCACAGTGAAATCTAGATGTTTAGAAACATCCGCTCAGCAGACAAACATTTCTATCACTATTTTCAGTTACAAAGAGTTTGAAATCAAACTTCTGCAGCCTTGCAAGGAAACTAAAGTTTCTCTATAATGTTCGGGATTAAACTTGTTCTACAAGTCAAAAGCAAAATGAGAAAAACAAAAGCCAAAGTTTTGATTCTGGAAAAAGAAATTATTTCATATTCAATTTGTAAAGAATGTCAGAAATTTTAAGTATTTTTTCATTAAAAAATTATGAATATAAAAGTTATCAACTTCAAGTGAAAAGTTGTAAAGAGGCTGTAACAGTTCTATATTGGAGTAGTCAAAGTCTTAAAAGGAGGCTGTAACAGTTCTACATTGGAGTTGTCGATGTCTTGTAAAGAGGCTGTAACAGTCCTTTATAGTAGTCAAGTCAATTTTTTTAATATAAGCCTTGATGCACAAGTCAATTAGGTCAACATTTTGTCTTTAAAAAGTTTCAGGTGGAAAATATACCAACAAAGACAAGTAAAATGTCGCAAGAGACAATTTGTTCCCCTGGAAGAGACTAGTCTTGAAACATTTTCAAACAATCATGTCAGAATAATTTAATTGTAAATACTATTATGCACAAGACATAGTCCAACTAAAAGGTCAAACACTATAAGAACAAAAAAATCATCTTAGAGGCTTGAGAAGACAAACATACAAATGGTTTTGTGATACATAGAAAATGAAATCTTTCTTCATCTTTAGAAAATGTTTTTAAAAAAATTTGAATATACAACTAATATAACAAAAAACTGGATATGGTCTGTTAAGCGCTGGGTTCTTGGTCTGTACATGATTTGCACATGGTCTACCCAAAATTTGTTGGGATTTGAATAAATAAATGAAAAAAAAAAATGACTTTTTGAAATTATCTTTGGCCCCAAGAGGATTACATACAGAACACACACAATAAATAACAAATAAATATGATTTCATTTTCACAAGAATTGCAGACATGATCAAGATAGTAGTATAGAAAATGAACAACAAATTTTCACAATAGCAGACATGATCAAGAAAGTTGTAAACAAAATGAACAATTCAAATGAGCAAGCTATGAACAGTCCAACCTGAAAGACACTCCTGATAAATGTGCAATGCTTAAGGATTTTAAGTGATTTAACCAAATATAAATATATATATATATATATATATATGTATAGCTATCTTAAAATAAACACCAATACAATACCACTAACTCTTGTAAAGTACTTCTGAAAATCATGTAAGTTATTTTCAAAGAGCTCCAGTCTCAGTTTTTTCGTTTCAAATATCTATTTCTTAAATTGTCAATGAAAACAAATATACATATTTGAGCTACAAATACATTCTGCATTCCAAGGATGCCCTCACTGGTTTGTGTGTTCAAATTAAATAAAGCACCAAAACATAAATCAATTAAATACAAGATTCCTCCCCCTATCAACTCATCCCAGTTTACTTGGGTATAGGTTTGAATAGAACAGCCATGTTCTTTGACAGGTCTTGGTCAGGTACTGTAGCATTCATGGCCAGGTGTGTCCCTCTGGTGCAGACAGTGACTTCTGACTCTTCCACTTGCACCACCTGGTCATCTTGGTTTGTGATGATTAGCACAGCCTGCACACGGGCCTCACCGCCTTGCAAGGCTGACTCATGACAGTAGATCTGTTGGACGAGGCATATGGAAGTAATGAATTAAAAGAGAAGCTAAAGCAAAAATTCAAATATCTAGATCTGCAAGAACTTTATTTTTGTTGTTTTATTTATACAACTAAACTTTTAGTTCATTATAAATTAGTATTTGCACGAAGTGCTGATGTGACAACATACAACTACAACTCTTAATAAGCTATTAGCTAATCAAATGAGCATACAAAACTTAAATGAAATAAAAATTAAGTGAAAGAAAAAATGATCTTGTGTAAGTTGGGTATGATGGAGAAAAGGTTCAAACCCATGACAATCCCATGCTACACTAGCTAGCAGCCATCCAAGGAAGATTATTCTCATCTTTCACCTCTGCCTGTGGTTCTGTCTGGGACAAAAAGGCCACCAACCAGCTTTCTTCCAGTGTTTTGGTTCTGGGCAGGTCTATCCAACTATCCCCACGTCTGGCCCATATGCTTGGCATCTGCTTTCTAATTTCGGCCCCATGTATTTCTGGGCTGTCTACTTGGAGGCTCTAGGTGAAGGTTTTGTGATGATGGATGCAGGCTTGTGAAAAGTGTGGCCAGCATCTCTGATAATTTCTTTAATGGGCTACTGTTTTTTTTTCTTTTCCACAGTTCCTCATTTAAGATCTTGTCTGGCCAGTGGATAATAAGAATCTTCCTGAGGCAGGTATTGATGAATATACCTACATTTTTTTCATGGTTGTGATGGTGGTTTTCCAGGTCTCTGCTGCATTAAGTAATATTGGCTTAACAATCCAAGTCCAAGCCTAGGTGCTGGAAGAGATGAAAGGCTTCACTTATCTTGGCATTATCCTGGACAACTTGGAAGAACATGCAGATGTCAGAACTAACATTGGTAAAGCTTGAGCAGCTTTCCATTATCTGAAGAACAGCTGGAGATCCTGGGAAATAAGCACCACCAGCAAGATCAGGCTCTTCAACCCCAAAGAAGGTTATAAACACATAATAAATATTTTTTAAACTCAACATATATCAATGAGTCTCTATCATCAGCCAAGTCTGCTTAAAAGCCTAAGTGTTTATGTAGAGAAAGTAAGGACAAACTATGCATTGTTGCACAGATAATACAATCTACAGCGAACCTTTGTTTTGGGATGGGAAGGTAAAAACAAAAAGATATAAATACTAAAAGATTACCTGCAAAGTCCAGGTATCATTGGACTTCCTGTATGTTATTTTCCACTCTCCATCCCGTGACTCAGATGGCACTGAACCAACATAAGTTCTGACATCCACTTGTATGCCATACCTTAAAGTTTTCTGCATTTGAACCTGGGGAGATTGAAGATTTACAACAATCAATAGTGGAGGACTTGAATTTTATTCATAATATAATGTAGTATTTTTAAGCTGATAATTTTGTGTTTTAAACCTTAAAGTTTCTAGAATTTTTATTTTTTAAAACTAATTTATTAAAAGTCTATAGTAAAAATTTAAATATTTAAACACTTCTCAAAATTTTTGAATATTAAAAATTTTCATTTCTGTTTCATCTTAATTTGCTACATTTAAAATTTATACAAGTCAGCAAATAAAAATAACAAATGATTGTACATTTTGAAATATATCTTTCACTTCCCAAGTTTAATCCAACTGCATACGTCATTGTTTTCCAAACACACATTGTGAAACTGCATTCCCTTTCAATGTCGAAAAAGAAAAAATCAACTTACATTATCAACTGCAAGGTCTTGGTAGTTTCTAGGTAAGTAAAAATCTTGGGCAAATGAGACGTCAATATCCGTCTGATGAGGGCACAGGGCACGGAACCTGTAAGCCTTGTTGATGAGTTTCTTGAGAAGTGGTTTTAATTCTTTGTCCTGATACAGGTCACTCTTTTCAACAGAGATTAACTCTTTGACCTGAAGCAATGAGATAAAAGAGTTAGCAGGCTCAACTAACATTAATACCGGTATAATTACTCTGATGGCCACTTAAGTTATAGAGTTTAAAGGATAAATTTTTTTCTTAAAGTCTAGTAATTATAATATTTATAACTTATTAAAAACAATAACAATGGAATTACATTTTTAATATCCTTTTAAATTATTAGTAATCCTCAATAACCTGTATTCTTGTAGTTTTGGCCTAAAGCAGCCAGCGTGACTATATAAGCCCTGACTTAAACATTTTAAGATGGAAATGATAAAATAAGTACACAGGAGACAGTAACACTGCGTTACACACTCAGACTCTAGCAAAAGAAATAAAGCTCATGTAGGCCTACAATGGTTCACTGTAATCAAAGAGTTATCTACAACTTATGCTTACTCTCAATTATGTTACTTGATGTGGTTATGAAAAACACATTACTTTTGCTTAACAATATCGCAATATTTAAATTCATCAAGATTTCATATGACATAAAAGTTATTCCCCACTGTAAACCCCAAACTGAAGTACTTTAATAAAACAATGGTCTCAAATAATGCTTGATAAACATTAAAGATGACATATTGGCTATTTAGATTTAATATAGGTATTAATTGTATATAGTTATTTTTTTTAAACCAAAAATAAACATATTCTGAATGCTGACCTGCATTTGTGGGAACCTGATCAAGGGCAACAGTTCCTTGGCATACTCATGAAAGTGTTCCCTCCGTTCCTCTGATTCCAGCCAGTGCAGCAAGGCTCTGAACAGCATGTCTTCCCTCTGAATGACAAGGTCACCATTCTTCAACAGGTCGCTGACAAAGTCAATGTCCATGTGGTGCCACTCTGGAGAGATCAGTAACTGCTCTGCATTCCAGGCGATGGTCTTTGAACACTGATGGATGAGCTCCTTCATGTGAAGGGCTTTAGACCAGGAGTACCAGTTCAGTGCATTCTTCACTAATGGAGATCTGTGGAAAATAAACAACAATACAACTGTTGAGGCCTTTCTATAACTTTACTATCAGATATAGTAATATGTTAATTTTTCTGCTGAAAAGTCCACTAGCAAAAGTTTACTTTGTCCTTTTTGTTGTAAAAATTAAGTTAATAGTTTTCTTCAAGGTTCAACTTCTCGATACTGACTAAAGTGTAAAAAAAAAAGTATCCTTTTCAGACCTTGTGATATATGGGCAGATGATGTAAAGGTCATCTGTCTTTATGGCCCACAGTTATCAGAGGCTATGTCATGTGACCAGCACAATGACCAACTGCCTTTACTTTTCCCAACTAATGTCAGGATTACAAATGGACTCAGGAGCACCCTAAAATCCTGAAAATCAAATTCCCAGTCATCAGCAGGTTATCAACCCAAGACCCCTAAAAGTTTGGAAGCGAAGTACTTTATACCCTTTACCACTCAGCTTCCAATTGTATCCATTTTGAATTCCTTGCTATCAGAGAGACACCCCATATAAAGTTGACAACACTGAAACCTAGACTGCCTAGTTGCAGAAGGGGAGGGAATGCATTAATTTAATCAGTCTTGAAAGTAAATCCCTCAATTTATCTAAATCATAATTATGTACGTTCTTATTTCAACAAAAACTGTCTACAGGATTAATTAGGCCCTACATAGGATAAAACCCAGACACAGTGGCATGATTAATCACTATCAAGTTCCAATACACTGGACAGTGAGTGTTAAAGAAGAGTGTTTTTTTTCTTTCTTTTTTAGCAATTTATTTTTGTTTTTTATAATTCATGATTTGCAACATAACGCTATTGAAAATAAATAAATAAGTAAAGTGAAATTGAATAAATAGAAAAAGATTTTAAAAAAAAAGATTATTAGATTACAAACTCAACCAGTACGATTGTAGTCAATGTTAAATGACCAAAGTTAGAGTTAGAGTTAGAAACCTATCTATTTATTATAATTTAATTTTGTAAATTAAAAAAATAAACTAAAATACTTTTGGAGCCATACAAATATTCTTCAACTTTGTTTATTTTTCTAGTTTTTGCTGGAGTTGGAGTCATTAAAAGAAAAACATTAAAAATAATTAAAAAAAAGAAAATACCTCAATCTTTACACAACTTATAGAGCGAGTGTTGTTCTCTTAATAACTAATGAATTATTAAAAAACAATGGAACATTTTTACCCCCCCCCCCCCAGGATGTGTATAGATGTAAATGTATAGATCTAGTAAACTATATAATATTCCAATGATAGGCCTTTAGATCTAGACTAAGAAGATGGTGCACACAATTTTCCTGAACACATTAAAACTCTTAAATCTGAAATTCCTGATCGCATTAGTCCTTTTAAGAATGTGATTCATAGTTCTTGTAAAAACAATGTTGGAAGTAGATCTAGACCAAGTTCTTTAACCAAATTTAATTTTTTTTTTTAACATTGAAAAATGATAAGGATCAAACTAGAGTTTTCCCAGTGTGGTCAATGAGCTAGTAATTCTTGTCTCAGCAATCTTTTACATTTCTAGGAAAATTGTTAGAGCTGTTTTTGAGATCCATGTCCAGGTTCCTCCATGAAGGTGTGACTTAAATAGAGGTATTAAAAAAAAAGTATTTGATCTGAA